TTCATCTATTTTCACAACTAATCTCTTAAAACTGTGAAAACTCTTCCTCTCATTGATTACCGAATTATTGGTCTCTTTGCGGAGATTCGGGAACTTCTCGAACAACAGCTCTCTCTTCACTCTGAAACCCATTTCACACGCCATTAGTCTCTTGTCTGCCGTCCTCTGAAACACTCACACATTGTTGTTGCAGACAGTGATGGCCGGCAGCTGCAAGAGCTCCATCTCCTCGACGTTCACGTCCATCGGAAACGACGAGTACTTCTTGAAGATGTCTATCGTCTGAAACATACAGAGACCGACACAAAACACAATGAAAACGGCTTTCATGATGTTTCTGACGTTTAAACACTTGACGGCCGACTGTTTGTTGGACTTATGGTACAACTCCTTCCTAAAGACAATGACTGGATTCAGACTGCGAGTAGTCCTCTGACTCGGAGGGTTCAAGAAGTTGTTGTGGCGGTCATAGGAGGCCGGGTAGTCGTCTGTTATTATGGGGATTGAAGTGCCCGACATTGCCATCAACTAAATGGTCATAAATTAAATTTTAAGACAATTTATAACACAAAATCAGAAAAGTTTTTATTATTTTTAATGATTTTATGTTAAATGTTTTTGACTATATGTTAATAATTTGCATGAAATGTGTTAAAAAGTTAGTAATATAGGAAAGAATCAATTTAAATAAACCAAATATGATACTTTTCTTAAAATCAAATTGTAAATATTGTCAAAAAGTCTTCATGTTTATAAAAATTGTTCAAAACTTTTGAATAAAAAATTGTAAATGATATGTTATTAATATATGGCTATGTTATGGTAGGATTACCTGTCCTTAAGATATTGTATTGTCGGTCACATTACTAACCAATATGTACTGTAAATATTAAAACACCTTTAATGTAAACGGTCGAATAAATCTAACAATTAATTTCAAGTTTCTCTTATTATTTGTTTATTTATTATTAAATTAAATGCCATAAAAAATATTATTAATAATAATTTATAGCGATTGATAAATAAGATCGTAATGTTATTATAATTACAAAACAAAAACTTTAAAAATATTTTTACACATTAATAACAACTATTAAAAGAAAATTACTTCAATATAAAATAATATATTTATCCGCTTTTTGTTATTGAAGTAATTGATCCCAATTTGAATCCAACGGCGCCTTTAGCTGTGAGATAACCCTCTTTGGTGGCGATCACCTCTTCCCCCGCTTTCCCGCCTTCGATGACAACCACAATGTCTTCTTCGCTCGACTTCTTCTCCTCAACTGATTTCACGTCTGTTTCCAAACAAATCAAACATTTCTTAATCAAGTTATTCATTAACAGGTTTTCCACTCATATTAGCCATACATTTGTCATATAAAGGTTGAGTCAATTGTTTCAATCTCTGGCTCTCATCCACTTGTCTTTGGATACCATTCCTCTCTTTGGTGATGTCGAGGACAGCGCCGGCACCCAAACCATAGGCATTGGTAACAGTGACTGAACTCTTGCCTCTTCTCACGGACACAATGGTTGCGCCAATACTTCCGATGCCCTCCAATACCACCACTTCTTCATTACTTTGCACTTCATTTTGACGTCTTTTCGAGGCATCA